CCCAGCTACAATATCCAAATTTTGAACTACAAAACTAAGGTGGTTCAATAACTATCTGTTAAAAACTGAATGACCACAATTATCTATGAAAATATTCACAATTTCAAGGATTTCCAGAAGGGAATGCTAAAGATGTTTTAAGAGACTACTGTCTATCACAATCCCAATGTAAGGTTAGATAGATGGCTCAATGGCTAACAGTACTGGCTACTCTTCCAGAAGACCAAGGTTCAGTTCCCAGCATCCACATGTTGGCTCACAATCATCCTTAACTCCAATTCCAGGAGATTTGATGCTATCATTACCTCCAGAGGCACCATGCACACACATGGTGCACATACACACATACAAGCAGATTACCCATACATGTAAATGAAATAAGCTTAAAAAAAATTAGATACTAGGCTGGAGAGATGGCTCAAAAAGTAAAGAGCACTGGCTGCTCTTCCAGAGGTTCTGAGCTCAATTCCCAGCACCCACATGGTGGCTCACAACCATCTATAATAGACTTGAAAATTGTCCTGTGACCTCCATGCACATACTATGACATACATGTGCACACAAAAATGTTTAAAAAAATAGATACTTATATAAGGAATATTATATGTAACTTGTAACAGAGCTAACCTAACTACTATGGAATATCACAATTATTTGAAAAAACATTTTACTTGCATAGTATACTGGTACACAGCTCTAATCCCAGGATACAGAGGCTATCCTGGTCTACATAATAGGGAGTTCCAGAATACCTAGGGCTACAAAGAGACCATCTTAAAAAAAAAAGTTTTATAGTTTTGAAATTTCAACTATACAACTATGAATACTATAAGCATGACTATCATATTATTTCAATATACTATAAAATTTGGGGGCTGGAGAGATGCCTCAGTGATTAAGAGCACTGACTGCTCTTCCAGAAGACCCAGGTTCAATTCCCAGCACCCCCCATGGCAGCTCACAACCGCCTGTAACTCCAGTTCCAAAGGACCTGACATGTATGGCAAAAATACCAATGCACATAAAATAAAGACAAGTAAATTTTTAAAATATACTATAAAATTGTTATATTCTAATTGATGTGCTTCATTATAATTGGTTTGTAATACCCACTAGCAACACCTCACTCAATCAGAAATATGTGGTATACAAAGCTATAAATTTTAATATACAACCATTTCATATTTTCCTGCAAACTCCAGCTGTTTACCAAGATCAGCAGAGATTAAGAACACGAACCTATAAAGAACACTGTAGAACAAATGCTATCATGGCAGCAACAAACAAGTAATAAGGTAGACTAAAGATAACTGCAAATTCTTTCTTATTCCTACTGAGAAATGAGATACATCTTTCCCATGAATCTGGGCTGACCTTAGGAATTCAATTGAGTGATATAATACAGGCTACACTTCCAAAGTTAGGTGATATAAGTTTATTTCCAACTGGGCTGATTTTTTTTGTTTGTTTTTTTCAGAAACAGGGTTTCTCTGTGGCTTTGGAGGCTGTCCAGGCACTCGCTCTGTAGACCACGCTGGCCTCGAATTCACAGAGTATACAAAGTTCCAGATCAACCAAATACACATTTTTTATTCAAACATAAAAAATAATATTTGGCTGGGCGGTGATGATACACGCCTTTAATCCCAGCACTCAGGAGGCAGAGGCAGGTGGATCTCTGTGAGTTTGAGGCCAGTCTCGTCTACAGAACAAGTTCCAGGACAGCCTCCAAAACAATACAGAGAAACCCTGTCTCGAGAAAAAAAAAGGGTATTCATCACTGAAGAACCCAACAATGTAAGCTCTTTGTGAACATAATGTCCACTTATTTTAAACTGAAGTTACAGCTGGGCATGGTCGCATACACCTGTAATCCCAGCACTTGAGAAAGGGAAAACACTTGAGAAGGATCACTGCCAGCCTGGACGCACAGTGAGATCATCTAAAAACTAAGAGAAAAGCTGAAACTAATTACTCAACTTCAGTATTTTAAGCACAAGATAAAACTTCTAAGAGTTGCCTCAGAAAAGGATACCCAAGGTATCCTTGTTCAAAGAACATTATCATTGACCTACACCCTCAGACGAAGAAAATACTATCTAAGGCTACTTTCTGAAAACAGTAGTTCAGTCTCATGTGTTGCTATTACACAGCAGTATTCCTGTCCTCACTTATTAGCCCCTTAAAGGTAAGGATTCATTTACCATTCATCTCTAAAAATTTAACACTCAATACTGAACTTATTCTGGGAACTAATAGTAATGAGGTCAATCAGCCTAGAGCAATAGCTCCTAAATCGAGTAACACACTCTCAATTATTTACAATCCCATCAGCCTGGTGACACACGCCTTTTGTTCCAGGACTCTGGAGGCAGAGGCAGGCAGATCTCTGAGTTTGAGGCCAGCCTTGTCTACACAGCAAGTTACAGGACAACTAGGGCTACACAGAGAAACACTGTCTTGGAAAAGAAAATGAATAAATAACCCCTAAAATGTTAGCATACTTTTTTTCAAGTCTAAATTTCTAAAAGTAGCACTATTTCACACTCTTGCATATTGCTTTACTGTGTAGCTCACTTAAAAAGACTTGTTTTTGAGTCAGGTGGTGGTGGCACTTGGGAGGCAGAGGTAGGCAGCTGATATCTACTGTAAGTTCAAGGCCAGTCTGGTCTACAGAATGAGTTCCAGGACAGCCTCCAAAACTACAGAGAAACCCTGTCTTGAAAAAAACAAAACAAACACAAACACAAAACTTTGCCAGATATTGTGTGCACATCCCCAGCACTCGGGACAGAGGCAGGAGGATCTCTGTGAGTTCCAGGCCAGCCTGATCTACAGAGTGAGTTCCAGGGCAGCCTCCAAAGCCACAGGGAAACCCTGTCTGGAAAAACCAAAAAAAAAAAAAAAAAAAAAAAAGACTTGTTTCCATTTTTTCTGTTATGTCTCTAAAAACTTTACTGACAATCATGAAAGAATGAGCAAGAAAATAAATACATCACACACCTACTAGCCAGGTATGGCAGCATAACTCTAATCCTCCCTACTCTGCAACACTGAGATTAAAAGATACCTTGTGCTACAGAATTAAGTTCAAGAACAACCTAGCAACTTGGTGAGACTATGTAAAAGAGACGGGGTCTAGCTTAGTGGTACAGTGCTTGCCTGGCATGTACACATGTGAGGCCTAAGTCCAGTGTCCAGTAAGAAGTACTACACCCTAGTGTGGCTTCACAGATCCCCTGAAAACAGCCTGTGTCCTAGGGTCCTTTTTTCCTTCCTCCATATTCTTTCTTTTTTTTTTTAAGTGTTTTGAGACAGGGTTTCTCTGTGTAACTTTGGAGACTTTCTCCATATTCTTAAATGATGTGAGCTCAAACTAGAGCCCTTAATCAGGTTGGCACACCTTCTAGTTCCTTCCAAAATAAAAGGCTGATGACACGAAGCATTTACAACTCATCTTTCCTCCCTTCTCCTCCCTTATTTGTAACTAACTGGAGAGATATTCATAAACATTTCTATCCAGATTAAACAGAAATTAATCCAGATTATTTATAAACAAATCCACCCCACAACTAATCTACAGTATGGATAGGCTATAAAAATAGAACCATTTTAGCCAAGTCAGCCAAGGTTACACTGAATCCTGTCTTGAAAAACAAAACAAAAAATAAATTAAAAATAAAATTAAAAAAACAATTCAACTACATTGAGGAGCTGAATGAAAAAGTTTACTGATTATCATTATAGATATAAATGTCAAAAAACTTGAAAATTCAGTCATCTAAGCAAACAAAGGGGAACCAGACAAAAATCCTATGTATTAAAACTAGCCATAAATGTGGTAAATAAAAATGGGATAAAGGGCCGGGCGGTGGTGGTGCATGCCTTTAATCCCTGCACTTGGGAGGCAGAGGCAGGCGATCTCTGTGAGTTCGAGGCCGGGCTGGACCGACAGCCTCCAAAACAATACAGAGAAACCCTGTCTCGTAAAACCAAAAAAAAAAAAAAAAAAAAAGGGATAAAGGAAAATGTAGGTGGCAATGCTCCTATTTGAATGTAAGTACCATGCAAATTCTTAACATTAATACTGAGACACAGCATTCTACTATTGACAGCTTTCTGTAAAGATTCTACAATTGTAAAAGCAGTTTCTCCTCAAAAATATCACCTGGAAGAGGGTGACATGGGGGTGCAATATCATCAAGATTGTCTATCGTGTTTTTAAAAAGTGCTATTTTTGAAAAGGTACCAATCATAAGCAGGTCAATGCCCAGATGAAATGGCTTGGTGGTGGTGGTACTCTAACCTAGTTTCGTTGTTTCTCGGTTATTCTGCGCGCTCCTCCAACTAGAGAGTTGATGGGCCAATCCCGAGTAAGAAATGGAAAGTACAGAAAAAGAGCCGACCGCTCCGCACCCCCAGATGGAAAAAAAGAGACTCAGAAGGGATCAGCGGCGGACAGGCCCTCCCGGCAAACACAACGGAAAGCGGAAAGCAGCGTCTTCGGGTCCCGGGAACCTAGGGCAAGGCTTCCTCTCCAGCCCCCACTCCGAGACCAAGAACCCAAAGTGGAGTGGAGCCGCTTTTCGGGGCCACCTACCCTCCCGGCCTGGGGTTCTCTCGTTACATAACTGGGCCTAGGGCCCCGCTTCTGCCATCGGTCCTCTGAAGGGAAACGGCCGTTTTCTCTTAGGCGGCTCTCAGGCACTGGGGAGCTGGCCTGGGCACCCGGCGCACCCGCGAGAAACCTGGGAGCCGTCGAGAGAGCCGCGGCGCCAGGCAGCGGGAGGGGCGGCGCGGCGACCGCGGCGGAGGGCGGGTGTTGTCCGGAGCCCCGCGTCCCCGCGGCTCGGCCCAACTCGGCCGGGCGCTCGGCGTCCCTCGCGGCCCCCTCCCCGCCAGCAGCCCCCTCCCCCAGCCGCGTCCCCTCCCCCCGCGCCTCGGTCCCCGGGCCCAGCCAGGGGCCGACAGCCCTGAGCCCCGATGTCCGGGCCCGGTACCTGGTCAGACATGGTGACGGTGGCTTCACCCGGGGGGTCTCCGCACCACAGCGGCCTCCGGCAGGCAGAACCTCACTCTAAGGTTTACAAATCTGTCTCTTCCCCACAGCACAACACCGCCGCTGCAGGGACTTCCGCTACGTCTTGCGTCACTTCCGCTGCGCGCATAGGAGACTTTGGGAAGACGGGAAAAGGAGGCGGGAAAGGGCCTTGGGGCGTCTGTCTTGTAACATTGCTTGCCCGGAGCAAGAGAACAACTGTTCTGCCGAAGGGAGAACCCGGCCCGCTGCTTCAGCCCCTAGGGGAAACGAGGGCTTCGCCACCAGGCTGAAAGGTTGAGGTCAAACTGACATCCTAGACTCCTCCCTCTCGGACACCTTGCGCGCTTCTCAGGGCTAAACCGAGTTAGTTCTTTGTCTCCTCCCAACCTCGCCAACCGACCCTAAATATAGCGAATCGTGAGCATAATATTTTTATTACCTCCTCTTGCTTGCTGCCAGCACACTCAAGACCTTGATTTAAAACCACAACGAAAAGACGACCCCTTAAGATACATCTTTTGTTTTGGCTGCTCTAGAACTCCGCTGTGTAGATCAAGCTGGCCTCGAACTCGCAGGGAGCCTCCTCTCCTCTGCCCTCAGCTCTAGGACAATTTTGCGAGCTGTAGATAATTAAAATGTTGAAAATTTTAAAGTCGTGGGCAGAAGGAGCTACCTCCAACCTATTAGTTGCCTTTCGTCACAGAAAGACCTAAAATTCTTTGACCTTCTTGCATAGACATTCAGTGTGGATTACGGATATATAAGAAAAAAGAGTAAAATTGAAAAAAAATAATTTTTGTGTGTGTTTTTCCAATACAGAGTTTCTCTGTGTAGTTTTGGAGCCTGTCTTGGAACTCACTCTGTAGACCAGGCTGATCTCGAACTCACAAAAATTCACCTGCCTCTGCCTACCAAGTGCTGGGATTAGAGGCTGTTGTGCCAGGTTTGCGGAATCCCAAATCGACACTCTGATGCAAAAGCAAAAGGTTCCATTTATTGTTCATCTGGCCAGCCAGATCTCTTTTCAGGTTTTAAAACTTTTATTAATTTTAATTTTTGAGCCGGGCGTTGGTGGCGCACGCCTTTAATCCCAGCACTCGGGAGGCAGAGGCAGGCGGATCTCTGTGAGTTCGAGGCCAGCCTGGTCTACAGAGCGAGTTCCAGGACAGTCTCCAAAACAATACAGAGAAACCCTGTCTTGAAAAACCAAAAAAATAAAAAATAAAAAAATAAAAATAAAAATTTTAATTTTTGTTCCCTCAAGGCGTGTGCCGACACCACCAGGCAAAACTGACAATTTAAATCAATAACACTTCACAGTATAAGACATTAGTAAAAGAATCTTTTCTACAGTTAGTAATGAGGCCACTGGAGATGGTCCAGCAACCAAAGAGCACTGCTTGTTCTTCCAGGGACTCAGGTTTGATTCCCAGCCCCCCCACCCCACTCATCCACACCTACCTGTAGCTCAAGTCCCAGAGTACCTTCTGTCAGCACCAGGCCAGGCCTCCACAAATGGCATAGACATCCATGCAGACAAAAACACCCATACACATCTAAGCATTTAAAAAATAATAGCAATATAATTAGTAATGAAACTACTGATCGTTCACATGCAGAAGAAGGAATGTTTCAAAGGTGTGTGTGTAAGACTGTCTTAGTTAGGGTTTCTTTTTATTATTATCATTAGTTAGGGTTCCTATTGCTGTGATGAAACACTGACCAAAAATTAAACTGGGGAGGAAATTGTTTATTTGGCTTTTACTTCCACATCGTAGTCCATCATTGAAGGAAAACAGAACAGAAATTCAAACAGGGCAGGAACTAGCAGGTAGGAGCTGATGCAGAGGCCATAGAGGGTGCTGCTTACTGGATGCTCTCCATGACATGTTCAGCTGCTTTCTTACAGAACCTAGGACTACCTATCCAGGGTTGGCACCACCCATCAATAACTAATCCAAAAAATTCACTACAGGTTTGTTTATAACCTGACTTTATGGAGGCGTTTTCTCTTTTGATTATTTGGTTTTGTTTTGGGTTTTTTGTTGTTGTTGTTGGTTTTTTTGGGGGTTTTTTTTTCTTTTTTCTTTTTCTTTTTTTGGTTTTTCGAGACAGGGTTTCTCTGTGTAGTTTTGGAGGCTGTCCTGGCACTCGCTCTGTAGACCAGGCTGGCCTCGAACTCAGAGATCCACCTGCCTCTGCCTCCCGAGTGCTGGGATTAAAGACATGCGCCACCAACACCCAGGGTTGTTGTTTTTTATTTTATTTTATTTTTTTGGTTTTTCGAGACAGGGTTTCTCTGTGTAGTTTTGGAGGCTGTCCTGGCACTCGCTCTGTAGACCAGGCTGGCCTCGAACTCACAGAGATCCGCCTGCCTCTTCCTCCCGAGTGCTGGGATTAAAGGCATGCGCCACCAACGCCCCGCTTTGTTTTTTATTTTTTTGACACAGGGTTTCTCTAGTTTTGGAGGCTGTCCTGGAACTCACTCTGTAGATCAGGCTGGTCTCTAACTCACAGAGATCCTCCTGCTTCTGGCTTCCGAATGATGGAATTAAAGGCATGTGCCACCACTGCCAGGCTAGAGGCATTTTTTTTTTTTTTTTGGTTTTTAGTTTTTACAAGACAGGGTTTCTCTGTATTGTTTTGGAGGCTGTCGTCCAGCCCGGCCTCGAACTCACAAAGATCCGCCTGCCTCTGCCTCCCGAGTGCTGGGATTTAAGGTGTGTGCCATGAGGCATTTTCTTAATTGAGGGTCCCTCCTCTCAGATGACTGTAGGTCATGTCAAGTTGACATAAAACTATCCAGCACAAAGACCTAAAAGTAAAACTCTCAGGAGAGAACACAAACAAATCTTTATGACTTTTATTTGTTGATTATGTTTTTGGAAGCAGGGTGTTTATATTTGGCCCAGGCTGTCCTGGAACTCAGCTCTTGCTGTGTCAGCCTTCCAAGTACTAGAATTTCAAGTTTCCAATACCCCTCCTGTGGTGATATCTTGATTGCACAAAGAAAGCCTGTCTGAAGGTCAGAGAATGGAGCTTGCCACTAGCTAACCACAGAGATCTGGAGATCTGTACAGACAAACAGGAAGTGAGGTACAGCCTCCAAAGCCACAGAGAAACCCTGTCTCCAAAAATAAAAAAAAAAGAAGAAAGAAAGAAAGAAAAGTATGCACTGTCACGTCCTGAAGACATATGTACATATGGACCAGTAAGATGGCTCATTGGGTAAAGCTGCTTGCTAATAACCCTGAGGATGTAAGTTGGATCTCTAGGACCTACATGGTAATAGGAGAAAACAAATGTCTGCAAGTTGTCTTCTAAACTCCACATACACACATGCCTTGGCACATGCTTGTGCACACACACAAATAAAATGTAATTTTTAGAAAATATATGGGCGGGCGGTGGTGGCACACGCCTTTGATCCCAGAACTCGGGAGGTAGAGGAAGGCGGATCTCTGTGAGTTTGAGACCAGCCTGGTCTACAAGAACTAGTTCCAGGACAGCCTCCAAAGCCACAGGGAAACACTGTCTTGAAAAACCTTAAAGAAAGCCGGGCGATGGTGGCTCATGCCTTTAATCCCAGCACTCGGGAGGCAGAGGCAGGTGGATCTCTGTGAGTTCGAGGCCAGGCTGGACCGACAACCTCCAAAACAATACAGAGAAACCCTGTCTCGGAAAACCAAAAAAATAAAAAAGAAAGAAAAAGAAAAAGAAAAACCTTAAAGAAAAACAAACAAAAAACCAATATGGTAGAACATTATTGGGCTATAAAAAAATGAAGTGCTCATAACTGCCACAATATGGATGAACATTGACTCACTGTGCTAAGTGAAAGAAGGCAATTCACAAACAAGATTCTATTATATGACATGTTCAGAGAGGCAAATCTATGAGGACAGATATATTACTGAGACTGCACCAGTCTATTATGAAGGCCATGCAAAAAAGCAGATTCAAAGACCAGCTGGATAATTCAGTAGGACTTCCAAGTCTAACTTAAGTTTGAGCCCTGGGGCCCACAGGGTAAAAGGAGAGAACTTGCTCCTGCATGTTTTCTCTGGCTTCCATACCTATGCCATTCTCTAGGTATGGCTGCACACTTACACATAGATGTAATTTAAAACAATTAAAAGAATGTAAAAACATATTCACAGGAAAGGGAACGGGGGAAAGGAGAAAAAGAAGTAGAAATGAGATAGATGAATATGCTCAAAATGCATTAAAAACATATGGAAGTGTTCCAGTGAAGTCTATTGTGCACAATTAATATGTGATGTTTTATAAATCTAAAAGGTTGTTTGTTCAGCAGGGGTTGTTTGCTTGTATTTTGTTTTGTTCCATTTTGAGACAGACTGTCACTATGTAGTTTTGGCTGACCTGGAACTCAAATGTAGACTAATGTATATTCAAAGATCTGCCTGCCTCTTCCTCCTGAGTATTGGGATAAAAATGAACTACCACCATGCCTGGCTGCTTGTTTGTATTTTGACTTTTGAATTCTTCTTTTTTTTTTTTTTTTTTTTTTTTTGGTTTTTCGAGACAGGGTTTCTCTGTGGCTTTGGAGACTATCCTGGAACTAGCTCTTATAGACCAGGCTGGTCTCGAATCATAAAGATCCACCTGTCTCTGCCTCCCGAGTGCTGGGTTGAATTCTTGATAGAGATGTCTTTTCATAATAGAAATAGGCTGTAGCCGGGCGTTGGTGGCGCACGCCTTTAATCCCAGCACTCCGGAGGCAGAGGCAGGCGGATCTCTGTGAGTTCGAGGCCAGCCTGGTCTACAAGAGCTAGTTCCAGGACAGCCTCCAAAGCCACAGAGAAACCCTGTCTCGAAAAACCAAAAAAAAAAAAAAAAAAAAAAAGAAATAGGCTGTCCCCAAACTGGTGATGGTTCAGCCTCCCTCCACCTCTCAAGTGCTGGAATTAGATGTGTTCTACCATATCGAGAAAAACGAATCTATGAATAATAGCTATGCTGCAGAATGAAAGGTGTTATGAACCTTGAGCATGTTAAATAAGAGCAGCTAATCTTGGTTAAACGGTTCAAGATTGTAGAAAGGGTCCAGTCATTAATAGATGTCTGAGCTCAAGTCTGGGCAGTTTATTTATTT